TTTACCTCCAGCCTGGTTCTGTCCACATCTCTTAGGATTTTGTTGCGCCCTCTGTTGGTCACCATGAGCATCTCATATGGAAATATCTGAGAAGGAAAGAAAACATCTCTTCTAGAATATGGCTGTCCATTTTATTAACAGTCAGAATCCATCTAAAATCTAGTACTCCCCAAGACAGTACTTCCAAGAGATTATAATGACAGCATATGAGTTACAGGTGTTCCTCCTGCAAGAACAGAAGTTACAGTTTCCAGGGAACAGAGACAGATTCTTACATATTTCCAACTCTCCACCAGTGTCTTGTGTAGCACTGTACCTTGGGAGGGCTTTGTTGAGTGTGAGAATACTAACTTACTATGTATTAGGTATGAAGGTAAAAATTAGAAGAATATTGAAATTACAGGTATACAAGTCATCTTTTACATGACATACACATATGTACATAACATACATACGTGACATATCCTATCATATGGCAGGATACCTTTGTGCAGGGCTCAACAACTTTGGTTCATGACTGGCCCATGAAATCATGTGGCCAGCCAGGCCCAGGAGCAGTGTTCCAGCAACTGACGTGTTGAAATAAGCCCCAGTTATGGTGACCAGGGAGCACAAACACTTGCACACCTCTGTAGGTATAGGGGTGTTCTGTAGATAGGCCGACCAGCCATCCCAGTTTGCTTGGGACTGAGGAGGTTCCTGGGATGCAAGATTTTCAGTGCTGAAATGGGGAAAGTCCTGGCAAACTGGGACATGTTGGTCACCCTCTCTGGAGCAGTCTGTAGCCACTCCGCTCAGCACTGGACATGCCTTGCAAAGCAGGGGCAGGGACCAAGGTAACACCCAGCTGGTGGGGGACAGGTGCTGGTACTTCACTGTGAACACAGAGCAGTAAAGGCTGAAACCTGCGGACTTGATGTGGCAAAACTGGAATGGCAGGGTGCCTGGATGCACCGGCCTAGAACAAAGTGGCCTCCACACTCTGAAATGATGAAAAGATGGAAAACCAAGTCTTTACAGGGCTCTGTCATCCCCATATGAGAGAAAAGAGGAGACCAGCTGCACTTGCCTTTGGTTCCAACATGTTGGGCATAGACACGCCTCGGTCCATTCTCATCACGGGCATGTGGCCGTCCGGGAGGGTCTGCAACAGAGACACTGGTTCAAGGAGGAGCACAAAATACCTGGGGGAGCCAGGGGAGCACTTTGTGGGCTCCCAAACGTCCCCCATGGGTGTCAAGTCCTCACCACCATTTTATAGATATGTCATCTTCATTACCACATGTTTTTCAAAATGAGATCTTTGCTAAATAAGAACAGGAATTCTGCTCTTTTGTAATTAAGTTGGGGAAAGATCCTGGCTTATTAGCTATGGACGGCTTAATGAATTTGGGCTCCATGTATGAAAGTATATAGTACATAAAAAAGACTCAACAAACTGCCAAGTCTATTATTGTTATTTTCTTATTTTTAACATATATTTTTTTCGTACTGTTTCCCTATTCTCATTGTCCATCATGATTTTACAAGATTTAGGTTCTAGTGGAAAAGGAACGGTATGCTGCTCTTTCCTGCTGGCCAACACATGAGTTTCTTTTCATTTGGGAAAAGGCAGGAAAAGGCAGGACTAAAGTACTGCGTGGTAATAACTGAAAGAAAAACCCTGTATATGGGCAGACCCTTGGGGCTGATCCACTGCCATCCAGAGGACTCTCCAAGGCCAGAGCAAGGGAGTCCTCCCACCCCAGCCTGGCTGATGCTGGGTCCCCAAGCCCTACAGGGACAGCTTGATCCAGACACAAGGTATGTCTGCTCTTTATGGCTCTGGGCTAATGATTAGACGGATTAATCTCAATAAGCATCTTCTCAACAGAAACCATTCCATGTCTGGATCGGAAAATGGCTGTTCTGCTGGGGTGGCCAACTCAAGAAAGACAAAGTGTTCCATACCTGGTAGTCTGAAAAGGAAAGAAAAAGAAAACACCATAAGGGAAAGACCATGGAAAAATACAGAACCATTTAACAGAGAGACTACATTCTATTACAATTCCCAAAAGACTCCCCAGTGAACCACGTTCCCCCCTTGCTCCCAGTCTCTGCACACACTGTCCCATCAGCCTCCCTGAGGCCAGGAAGTGCCTGCTCCAGTTTTAGTTATCATTAAAACATCCTTTTCTCTTGGAAGCTTTCTCTGACAAGCTGAAGGTGCTGCTTCCTTCTGTGGCTCCAAACATAGCATTCATCACATAAAAGTTTCTCTTCCCCTGCCTCGCCATGTGCATTTTGAGGGCCCGGACCACGTCTTGCTTACTGCTGTACCTCCAGGTATCTAACAGAGTGCTCAGCATAACAGGAGCAATCAGTAAATGCTTACAAACTCGCTTCTCATGGTGTTATTTCATTAGGGATCCTTTGAGATCTCAATAATTGCTCTCTGAGCTCACAGAAGATAGATGTGATCCTACTTCAGAACCTCGTGAACCTCAGCCACAAGGACGGATGCAGCCACAGGCAGCCTGGCTGGGGGATCCTCACCTCGCACTCCCCCGCTGACATCCCCGTAGCTGTTATACTGGGCGAAGTCCGTGGAAACATGCTGCAATGCGGAAAAACACATTCTCAGACAATCTCCACAGTGATCGTTTTGGAGTCAGGTGAAAAGGAAGAGAGGATTTACAAAATCCTAAGAGTTCTTCCCAAGCTAAATTCCTGAACCCTCATTATTTTTCTTTCCTATTTCTTCAGCCACTACTATGAAATCCCTTTGTCTTTTGTACTATGTCTAACGCCATTGCCCGGCAGGCTCTTGGTAAACAAGCATCTCTTGCCAATAAATAAAAATGTATTTCCCCACATAGTTATATTTGTTCTATGCTTTGTGGGAAGGACTGTTGCAACAAACTTTCTTAAATCTTTTTACCGCAGAGACAATGGCTCAAGTAACTACATTTATTTTTAATTAATTAATTGGGGGGGGGAGACAGCTGGCCGGTTAGGGGATCCAAACCCTTGACCTTGGTGTTATAACACCAAGCTCTAACTAACTGAGCTAATCGGCCAGCTCTCAAGTAATTACTTTTTGCTTCATTATAAAAATATTTGCTGCATAATTACTTAATCTGGTCTTCCTATGAGTTTGTACAGGCCGTTCTTTTATCTAAAGTTAATATCTCCTTCTCTCAGTAGAAATATTTTATTTTGCCTGTAGCTGAAAGTGATTTACCAGGTCATCAGGGAGATTACAATTTTCACTACATTCCAACACTGAGATCAGGAGTCAGATCTAGTCAGGCAACATGTCAGTACTTCACCCGGGACCGAGGAGGGAGTAAATGCAGAAACAATCAACTGGAGGGAAATCTTACCCGGTGCAGCCCATTTTTCCCATAGCCAGGGAGAGATGAGGTTTTAGATGATGGAGCATGTGAAGCTGAATGAGAAAAAAAGAAAAAAGCGTTGTTAGGAAACCAGAAGTCCAATTCTTTAGTGAAATTGGCAGTGTACCTTCTGCCTTGCAGAATAGAAGATTTAGAAGAAAGAATTCAAATCATACTGGGCTCAAATGTTCACAAAATGCCACCAATATTTGGGTGATGCAGGGAACAGGTGGGCCATCACGTTACTGAGGAGGGTCAGAGAAAGAAGCACAGACGGCTCAGCTGGGACTGACGTCAGCTGAGCTTCCGCAGTGCACCTGAGGGCTCAGCACGCTTTTTATCTCTTTGAGTCCTCAATACAACCCTAGTAACTCTATCATTATTTCTATTTGTCAAAAGCAGAAATAGGCACTAAGAGAAGTATCTTGCCTGCCAAAGGCCACAAGCTCATAAACAGCTGAGCGAGGATTTGAATCCAGGGTTATCTGAATGCAGAAGCCCATGCCTGAGTTGATAGGTCAGCAGTAACTGACCTGGAAGCCAACCATGGAAGTTATCAAGATCTACCAACCACAGTGGGACTCCTGGGAGGGCTGGCATAGGGTACCTTGTCTGTCAATGCCATGGAAGCCTCTTATGCTGCTGGGCTTTGGAGGGAGCAGACCTAGGCTCGAATTCTGGTTCTGAAACTGAACACCTCTGCATTTTTTGGACATTGTATTTTTTTTTTTAAGTCTCCATGTCTTGATCTATGTAGGTAGAGTGTTATGTATTCTTACAGAACAGAATCTCAGAACTAGAAGGAACTCTGAAGATTAAAGGAAACCACCTAATTCAAGATCAGTGCCAATGAGCCATCTACGAGAGGTAGCAGGGGATTCTGGTTAAGAGTGCAGATTCTGGGGTTATATCTGGATACCTCAATCCTAGTTTTGCTAGTTATTAGCAACATGACATTGGGTAAGTTACTTAAACTTCCTATACCTGTCTCCTGATCTATAAAATGGGGATGCTGCTGCTGATAACAACGTCACTGGCATGTTGTGAAGATTAAATGAAATAATGGTTAGCAAAGGCACCTGCATATAGTAAACACTAACTACATTTTTAAGGGAAAGAAAATTATGTTCTGGTTCAGAACATGGGAGAAGAAATCTTGTGAGTTTAGAGAGAATTGGCTTATGACAAATACAAGCAGGAAAAATAGACTATTTCAACCCAGTATCTGACTAATTTTCTTCAAAAGTGTCAAAAACAACACTTAGTGGGTGGGAGTGGTGAGTTAGTTCTTAGCTCTTGTATTGAATATAATAAGGTAAAATCACAATGCTTCGACAATGTGTTGTTTGTGCTTTCTACAGTCAAAAAAAAGTATCCTGTTCTCTATAAGATTTCCTTCCATTGCTTCCCTTTGCGAGGAATGTTCTAGAAAACAGACCTAGCACATCGGGATTGGCCCCTCGTGGTTCTTGAGATCCTCCAAGGGCTCCCCTATTTCCAGAAGGAAGGAAACACATTTAAGGAAGACTCGTACCATGCTTATAAGCTGCGTTGACATGAAGTGGGTTTCCCACATTTCTTTTTTGTAGAACACTCTGTAGGTTCCACCAACGTGGCCCTACATCTCCTGCAACAGTTGTGGCAGGCTCCCCACGTGCAGGTGGCTGGCTTGGGGAAGGTGGGGGGGGGAGGGGCTGCTCACCTGAGTTGATGGGAGAATCATAGCGACTGCCTGGCAGGGACGCCCTGTCCCAACTCCCCTTCTCCATCTCTTCTTTCAATATCAACTGCCCAAGGCCTGAGTTAAGCTATTCACAGGGGGAGGTGGCTTGGGGAAGGTGGGGGGGGGGAGGGGCTGCTCACCTGAGTTGATGGGAGAATCATAGCGACTGCCTGGCAGGGACGCCCTGTCCCAACTCCCCTTCTCCATCTCTTCTTTCAATATCAACTGCCCAAGGCCTGAGTTAAGCTATTCACAGGGGGAGGGGGAAAAGGAAAGCAAAGCCTTCAATTACTTTCATGAAACTGCAGTTTCTCGTGAGAAGATGCTGCAGGAGTCCCTGACTCTGGAGGGCCTAGGTGCATGTGGTGCCACAGCCTGCTGGTTCCTCAAGAGGCAGGCCAGGTTTTGGACTCTAAACCCCTCTTAGCCTTTTCAATGTCAAAGCTCCATTTCCCTAAGCCAGGCTGAAGGCCAGAAGCATGTTCGCCTTCTTCTTCCCTCCTCAAAAGTGCCAGCAGGCGACCTCAGGAGATATGTGTGAGTGGATGTGGAGTTTTGATGTGAGAAGTGGAGATTGGGGATGGTATCCCTTAAAAAGAAATTGCATTGATTTGTTTAAGAAAAAACAAAAAAAGCAATATATGCTCATTATACAGATTTTGGTAAATCCAGAAGGAAAGAAGAGTAACCTATAAGCCACTACTCAGAGATAACACCATATAAGGGCCGACCCGTGGCTCACTCAGGAGAGTGCGGTGTTGATAACACCAAGGCCATGGGTTTGGATCCTATACAGGGATGGCCATTTCACTCACTGGCTGAGTGTGGTTCTGACAACACCAAGCTAGGGGTTAAGATCCCCTTACCAGTCATCTTTTTTTTTTTTTTTGTCTTTTTCCATGTCCGGCAATGGATCGCAACCCTCAGTGTTGCCCCCGTACCGGACCGGGACCGGCAACGGGATCGCAACCCTCGGCATTGCCCCCGCGCCTCGCTCAGCCAGTGAGCGGGAACCGGTCTGTATGTGGGATCCAAACCCTCGGCGGGAGTGCCGCCGCGCTTCCCAAGCGGCGCACTAGCGCAGTGCGCCACCCGGCCGGCCCCTCCCAGTCATCTTAAAAAAAAAAAAAAAAACATGATAACACCATATACATTTTGATTTATGTCCATCCAGTATTTTTCTATACATATATTATTCAAAACTGGGATCATCCTATCAATGCAACTTTGTATCCTTTCCCTCCATATAACTAATATCATATGCTTTCCCATACCTTTGGAAAACATCATTTCAAGAGATTTATCAACCCATACTGGTGGGAGAGTTCACAATTGGCTATTCCGGGATGCCTCAGGCCCCTGCTAGAGGCAGGAGGGTATGATGAGGGCCTCTGGGTGGGAGTCCCCTTCATCCCTTTTCTCCTGGCCAAGATATAAATACATTTGAATCCTGGGGAAAGAGCTGGAGAAATGCTCAGTCCCAAGGGAATTCCTTTGGCAGAACCTGCACGAGGGAAGGAAGGTGCCACCCCCCTGGGGAGCATACCACCTTGCTCTACCTGGCCCATCAGCAGCCCTCCAACACATGCACCCCCACACACAGACCCCAAAGTCTTGCTCTCCTGCTTGCAAAAGCCCAAGCATTCCTTGTACCTCTGATCTCTTCTAGAGCATGCTGCATATTCGGCCTTATTCTAGCTACTAGATGCCTGTCTTGTGTCGCCTACAGGGCTATAAGTCCCTGGAGGGCTGGGACCCCCTCTTGCTCATTGTGGCGGCCTGTATGCAGTAATCATTCAAAAACTACAGATCTTATGGAACTGAAATTGAAGACAACAGCAAGGTAATTTAAAGACCAACCTTCATTAATTGTTCTTCTTGAAGCTGACGGCGTCTCAGAAGTTCCTCCTCATCTTCCTCTCTGCCGCTAGATCTGCGTCTCATGTCAGTTCCTAATTCCACAGCAAAGACAACTTCTCACATCAGCCCCATGACAAGGGAATCTTAATGGACTAGTCCATCTGCGTTCAATTTGTTAGGCTGGCAAGGTCAGCAGTGGTCTTTAACATTTTTAAGTGCACAACACAAGGGAAAATAAATGCCCACCGCTAATTTGGTAATACTGGCTGGTGACTCAAGGAAAACGGGCCCGCTGTGATAAGCCAGTTCAATGTATGATGCAAGTAAGGCATGGACTTTGGCTTGCCAGCAAGTGGTCCGCTCAGTTAGAACTGGGTTTGCCATTGCGACTGAGTCTAAGTCATCCCGTTAACCACGGTCAGAGCCCACCATAGTAAGTGGCAAGGGCATCTCCAGTTGTTATTCTGATGTCCCTGAGGTCAATTTTAAAATAGAGAAATCCAAATTTATCTACATACTGACAAATAGGTAAGATAGTTGCTCTGTTGTAACAAGTTTTAAAATCTTGCAGTTTTCTTTTTTCATAATACTATCACTCTGTCTTCTACCCTTAGTACATTTATTAAAAAGCATGCTTGTTAAATTTCTTTCAAGGGATAGGTCTCTGTTTCCTTTTTCTCATCGTCTGAAAAATGGTCGCAGAAGTGTTTTATACTAATAGGTAAATAAAAACAGTGTTAATACAGCTATAGAGATACTTACTTTGGAACAGTATAGTAAATTGTGTACAATTTTTAAGCTTCTTGGAAAAGGGGAGACAGGGAATGGAAAGGAGGAATCTGTCTGAATAGTTGGAAGATTAAGATAATTATTGTTTTTCCCAAATTGCCTGGATTAATCTGGCTGTGGGAGGAAACAGGAAAGTTTGCTAATCTAATAAAAATAAACTTCAACTAACAGTCCTCGTTTTCATCATTTTGATTAATGGACCAGATAGTTTCCTCATTGTGGAACCCAAAGGAACTTTAAACTACTTAGTGATGATAGTTTGAACAATATAAATTTTTTTTTTTTTTTTTTTTTTTTTTTTTTTTTTCCGTGTTTGGCAACGGATCGCAACCCTCAGTGTTGCCCCCGTACCGGACCGGGGACCGGCAACGGGATCGCAACCCTCGGCGTTGCTCCCGCGCCTCGCTCAGCCAGTGAGCGGGAACCGGTCTGTACGTGGGATCCAAACCCTCGGGCGGGAGCACCGCCGCGCTTCCCAAGCGGCGCACTATCCAGTGCGCCACCGGGCCGGCCCTGAACAATATAAATTTAATTCTCTCTCTGCCTAAAAGTTTAGCTGCTTTGGTGTCCTCACTAAGCAACATAACTGAACTAGGAATCTCATGGGCCCCAAGAACTTCCTAAAGGGCATAAATTGGTAGAGAAAAGCTGATAATTGAGTATTAGTTCTTAAAATTATAAACGTCAATGGGAATTTTCTCCTTAGTTTATACTAATAAAAATTAATAGACACAAGTATGCAAAGATTAGATAAATCTCATGATAATGCATAGAATACTTGTGAATAATGAACCGAGGAAGTGGATTTTCCTTTGGCTATTTCAAAAAACATCAGTTACTTTAAAACCCACTTATGTTGCCTGTAAAAGTTATTCCAAAAGTAACTTGATAAAAAGTAGCATGAAGAAGATTAGAAAATTTTGGAAAATTGAAGGCCTTTAGGTTGTCAACAGAAATGTGATAAGACAGTCATATCTTCTAAAAGCTGACTTGCTAAATTTTCACTATCAGCTTCTGAGTTTCCTAATACCTCTTTTTTAAGGCCAAGTGATTTCACTACTGAATGAAACAGTAAAGACACAGACACAATTCCAAAGCATAAAGCAAAGAATGAAACAGCTCGAATATGACATTTTACCACAGAATTCATGGAAATGATAGATGTAAAATCACATAACTTCACACAATATTTCAGAACACCTTGTAATAGCCCTCCTTAGTAATGGAGAACATGATCTCACAAGAAAAGTGAAAGTGCTTCAGCGTTAAGATTAAATTGTGAAGAAAATTGTAACTACAACCCAGAAATAGTCTAAAACAAACTTATCCGGAAGAAGTTACGCTACTATAGAAACTTGAAAAATTCACCCACTAACCTCTAATCATATAGAACAATGCTCTTGCCATGAGGCTTTGACTCAACTCTGTTCAAGAGAGTAACTGATTTTGCAGTAATAACTCTGAGAATCCATGCAAACCATCAGTTTTAGACCAGTTCTGGGTCTCAGTGGGTTTGGTGAGAGCAAGGCTCTGGTAGATATGTTTTTGTAACTTTTAAGCATTTTGCATACATGTTAATACCACATTAGTTTTTTTCACTGTTCTACCTTTTGCTCTTGCTTATACTTTTCTTAAAAATCTTTAAGGTAGGATACCTTTTCTTGCACATTTTTAAGCATTTCATTTTGAGCTCTCCTAGCAATTTGCCCAGTTTGACTTAGCTGCAACAGTTGCATACCTATGGCGGCAAGTGAAGGGGGACCAGGCCAGTGGTCCGTCTCAATCTTTGGTATCTCGCTGGGGTCTGGAGCCTGGGCTGCTGGGAACTTGGAAAACTTGATGATATCCTCTGAAGACTTGCTCTGGGCTGCCAAAGCAGCTGCATCTAGGTGGGAATCAGGGGTTGCTTAGCTATTGGTCTGTAAAGCAGTGGTGGTACAACCCCACTTACATAGTTTTCTCGTTACCTGGCAAAAGTGTCAATTCCAGAAAATTCTGTTTATCACCATTATCAATAGCTCAGTCAACTCAGTGATGCTGAGAGAGAACTCATTTTCCTTACTTTATGTCAGAAACAAAGCTTCATCCTATATCTGTTTGACATCCGAAAAACCTTGCTCTGGTGCTGGGCTATCCAATACTAGCTACATGCGGCTATTTAAATCTAAATGAATAAAATTAAATAAAAAATAATAAAACGAAAATTCAGTTCCTCAGTTGCACTAGCCATATTTCAAGTGTTCAGTTTTCACATGTGTTTAGTGGCTTCTGTATTGATGGCACAGACACAACATTTCCATCATCACAGAAAGTTCCATTGGACAATATCCTCCAAGCGTAATTAGAAATTTGAATTAGTAATTTGAAATTAAAGGACTAAGTTAAAAGTATGACACTGTCATTTGACTGTAGTTGTTAATCATTATAGGGTTGGCTGGTTTTATATTTTTGGGCAAGAAACCACATATATTGGTCCAGTTCGTTTCCATTCTTATATACTATATGTGTGACCTTGAGTCTTATGAGAAACGGAAATAAAAAAAGAATCCACTTTCAGCTTGCAGGAATTTAGTATTGTGTCTTATGTTTGCCGTACCCACATATTGTTTTGTTCAAGGGTCTGTACATACAAATGAGTCATCCAACTTTAAGACAACAAAAGCCAAACTAGCAGCAACATTAGTTCACAACATTCTTAATGGCTTTGCTTAAAGGCATTGTCACCAGCTTAGAGCCCAAATCTACTCGCAGAGATGGAGCAAAATGAACTAGATCAAATAGTCAGTCTCTACTTCCAGCTAATTTTGCAAACTGACCTGGGATGTTATGAAAAACTTCAAAGTATATTTATAATGCCTTAAATTTAAAAAAAAAGTTTTTCTCCTGGACTTACATATTTTTAAATCTGGAAATAACCTTTTGAATCATCAAATCCAGTTCCCCTATTCTTCTAGTAATCTTCTGAGTCTCAAGTTTGCTTAAATGAGTTGACCAAAGTCACCTCATAATAAGGGGTAAAGTCTTGGCCAGGCATGGAACAGCTTTTCCCTGAATCTCTAACCTTATGAGAAAAAAATTTCAGCCTGAAAAACATTACATACTAAGTCTACCCTTCTTAAAGATGGACAAAACATGTTAGCACATGAAAGACTGAGAAGTTCTGCATTACAAAAAAAAAAAAAAAAAGTGACTTTATTTAAGCCTAGCATTTCGCAAATGCATCAGGGCACAGACACCAGTTTTGGGTATAACATCTACGTCTCTGGCTTGGAACAGCTGCTTTGCAGAACATTCTTTGGAACTGCTGCTCTGGCCGTGCTACCCTTAATTAACCACAACAGACTGAAAGTAGAGATTTCAGTCAAAGTAAATATCACAGAAAGAAGCCAATTAATCTCTTTCAAACAAATAATCTAACATTATCCAATCTCTTTAAATCTTAATTATTTTTGTCTAAAGAGTCAGGGCATAGAGATCTTAGTATTTTTTAAAGTCTCTAAGTTAATAAATCAAACTCTAGAAATCTTATTCTTAAATTTAAAAGAAGCATGACTTCAAACAGTACTTACGCATTAGAATTGGTGAAGTCAGTAGTTAAACATTCACATGTTAATGGGTGTGTGGGAAGACATTAAACCATAAAAACAAAAACAAAACAAAACCAATGTTAACAAACTTAAAAAGCAAGCACATGGTGTGAAACTTAAGGAAAAAAAAAGATGAGAAAAAAACCTATAGATCTAGAACCATTACAATACATACTTTGTTTTTTCCTAAAATTTTGGCCTAAAATTTTTTCTTTGTGCATTTTCAACTTCGTTTGCTTTTCATGTCATCTCAATTCCTAAGGACTCGCTAATGTCAACTGCATTCCAAAGGCAGCCTTCAAATTTCCAGGTACAATTTTTATTTTATTTTCTAAAATCATCTGAAGACCAGTTTTGGCTTTCTATCTATTTACAAAGATTTAGACAGCTAAATCTAATAATGGTGAAAGAAAATATGATTTACATAAGGTAAGTGATTTTCTGGGTTAAAAACATCTGTATTTCCAGAAAAGGAAAACACAATTATAAATCCACTTTTATGATTCTTAGTTTGCAGGAATTTCAGAGACAAACTGATTTAACTCACTGGTTTTTACAGATGAGAAAACTGAGGCACAAAGAGATTTTGTCCATGAATGTCACAGAGCCATTTGGGTAGAAAGTGGGAACAGGGCCACAACCTTTGTCTCTGCTGTGTCCTGTCCACTCTACCATGCAGATATCTACACACCCTGTAAGAAACTGGGGAACTGGACAGTCAAGTCGATATAGGCTTCATCAAATTAATTTTTCTAGGTGGCTGGTTTTCACTTAGTTTTAATTAGTCAAACTAATTGCAAGCTCACCAAAATTATCTTAGAGCTTGGTTAAGCATTTGATGGTCCAAAAAAATAATTTAAAAAGTCTCGTTAGGATGTTTGTAAGTTGTGTGCCCAGTACCCCTGCCTTCTCTGTGAATGGAATGATACATGGTTTGATGGGCTCAGAAACAGGCTAGAAGCTTCCTAATCAAGCTAAGTGTTCTCCATCCAGGAAAATCAATTTCACAATATTTGCATCTTAGACCATAAAGGCATTAATACGCTGGATGCCCTGGTTTGATTCTCAAAAGCAGCAGCGGATAAGCCTTTCAGAGGACAGCAAAGAGAGGTTCGGATGACTCTGCTACTTAAAAGCTACGCGGAGGAAAGCAGGTTTTACCATGCTGCTTGTAGATGGGTGGTTTTCGGTAAATGTTGATCCCTTGATCTGTGGAAATGAAAAGCAAAGATGTGTGATTATGGGAACCAGGTCAGCGATGGGAAACACAGAACCACCAAGGGCAAACCACACTGAAGTCTCTTGAGCAAAACTAACCCAGAAGGTTAACTTTTGTATTACAAAGACTAAGTATATTGGAAGAAAAGATTACAGAAATGAGAGTTACTACAGACAAGTGATATGGAAGGCTTTGTAACACGTCTTATGATATATAGAGATGCAACTAATTCATGAGCCATTTATTTCAAATACATACTTCACTGAAAGTGGGATTAAAACAGGAGGAGATGCAAGCAGTGGAGGCACTGTGATGGTGAAGAAGACATAATCAGTTTGGGGACAATCCCCAAATTGCTACTGTCTAGAAATTGAGCTCCCAGTAGATACCAGTGGCTCAATTTACTTTTCAGTTAATGAATGGAACAGTGGAAAGCGATGTAGAAAAATTAAGAGTATTTTTTTAAAACACAGAAACACTTTTATGTACAAGGCTAGCCCAGTGTGCTGATGGGATGTTCAACAAAAATCCTAATTTCTACAGGAAAGAGAGAGAGACACAGAGAGAGAGAGAGAGAGAGAGAGAGAGAAAGAGAGAAAGAGAGAGAGAGAAACAGATGCTAGATACAATTCATATATTTATATTGGACCCCTTTTAATTATGCCACTATTTCACTGCAAATACTCAGGAAACTTCAAAAGGTTTCTGTTTCCCCAGAATCTTGGGCACTATATCTTGGTGGGGACATCTTTCATGTAAAAAATCCCAAATGTAGAACATTGATTTTCAAGATTCAATGAAACTTTTTCAAAAGGGCAGTCCTAGTTTAGTGGTACAAATCTCATAGAACTTTCCTCTGTTTTATTAGGGAAGTTTGGAGTGCAAAAGAAAAAGAACTATTATAGTTTTCAAATATGTTCATAATGTAATAGGTAATTTATTAAACCACTTTCAGTAGCTAAAAGAAGCAAAACAATGTACTTTTGATGGAAAAATAATATTCGTGACCTCTGATGGCCAATCCAGCCCTTACAAATTGAGCTGACTCTAAATATTAAGATATTAATGCGTTTGGATTTTTCCAGTTTCTAATGGCAAACTGCTATTTGTACTGTGACAGCAAATGCTTGTGGCTACTACAGCAAAGCTTGCAGCACCAAGCCTAAATTGCAAGATGTCTTTGTGGGCTCTGGAAGTGGACAGTCTGTCACATACTACAGAAAGACCACCCAATTGACCCAATTTTACACCTGTCTGAAAAGTTCATGGAAAGAATCTCCACACTGGAGAAAAACAAGAAACATAAAAAGTACTCTCAGGTGACTGTGGTTCAATCTTTATGATGAGAAGATAGCTAGATTTGCCATTGTGATAATTAATGACATCCAACCACAGAGTGATTTCTTAGAAGTGAAATCTTCAGTAGTGTAAAAGTAAAATTAAAATTTTAGTAAAAAGCACAACAAAACAAATCAATCTCTCTCCTTTATCCTCTGCCTCCTGCGTGCTTAAAAAATTTTTTGAGAAAACTTAAACCTTCACTCCTGGCATCTCACACACAAAACTTTGGAAAGGCCCTCTCGGTCAGATCCTGCAATTTAGGATTTGCCAACTGTGTGCATCCTAATTAGAAGAGCATGAGTGATGGAGATGAGACGAGGATACGAGGCTACATTCTACACTGTGACAGGACACCAAGACATGGACCGTGTCAGCTCCTACCTGGAACATGGAAATGTTTGGGGGCCTGAGCATAAGTCGGAGTTAGAGGGCGGCTGTCTGGCCGGTAAGGGAGAGGGGAATTCCGGCCGCTGGACGGCTCATTGCCTCCAATGAGAAGAATGGAGAAAACAAAATGAGAGGAGAGAAGCAATAAAAAAANTCATTGCCTCCAATGAGAAGAATGGAGAAAACAAAATGAGAGGAGAGAAGCAATAAAAAAAACCAAGCAAGCGTAATACAAATTCAAAACAACAGACCGGAAGGAGGTACATTACAAAGGAGACACAAAAGAAAAAAACTCAATTCATTGATTTGGCTCACAAAGGTGATACCAGGTTTTGTTTTCCAAAAGAGAGAGTTGAGTTCAAGCGGAACTAGGTTGAAAGCAGCTAGAGGTAAGATGCGGCATTCCAGTGGCATGCAGTTGACGGCTGGGAGCCAGCGGCAAACCCGTTAGATGGAAAGTACGTTAGGAGAAATGGAAAGTCACTTGCTAATGATTCAGGATCAGCTGTCAGGGGGTTAAATTCCAAGCACGTAAAGGGTTGGGCTAGGCAAACCCAATCATTTCCAGGCATGATGGCAGAGGCTGGCAATGATAATATATTCTCTGAACTGAAGGCTAAGTCTGGGAACCTGTGGGGTCACCCAGTCCTTCCCCTTAGGAATACAAAGTGCCTTCATTGTAGCATGTGTTTCTGTCTTCCTCACTTTGAAATACACAAGACAGAGTCAGACCCCTTTCTGCCAGGTACTTTGGGGCCACTTATACCTCTCCCACCTTTCCCTTAGAAGATGAGTCTCCACCCAGGCTAATGATTCAATTACTAAAACATTTACTGAGCACCTTCTATGGCTGGGCACTGAGTTATTATTGAGGATGAGTACATTAGTGAGATTTAGTCCCTGCCATCAAGGGGCTCAGAGTCTACCTGAGGAGACAGACTCAGAGGTATAAGAAAAATACTACAAGACTCAGATGAAGGTGTCATTGATTCTACAGGAAAGCTACAGAGGGAAGATGTTAAGACTTAAGTGTCAAAGAGTAAGCTCTCCAGGTAGGTGGGTGGGCAGAGTGAGAGGACCCAGATCCCAGAGGGCTGGAACATCTTGAGAAGGGAGGCTGTGGAAGGGCCGTGGTGTGTGGGAGCAACAGGACTGGCCACTGTGGCTGGACAATGCGGGACTCTCTAGGAAGAGAGAACAGGGATGAGGCTGGAAAGGGGAGCGAGGGCTTGGCTGAAAAAGCCTTAGTGCCACCAAAGCCACCATCACTCCCCTTTCTGGCCGGGAGAACTGCAGGGATGACCTGAAGCTTGTCAAATTGGAAAGAGATGTACCTATATTGTCCTCCAACCCCAGGT